TACCATCTTTAGTCTTTGACCTCACTCTGGACTCAAATATTTTTGCTTAATGATATTTTCTGCCTCTATTTGCATGGGTTCATTCCATCTGTCTTTTAAAGTTTGTTGTTATGATCATAATTAATTTTATCTAGCAATAACCTTCATAATGAAATATTCATATGCATGCATAATATATTTTTATGCTTGTTTTAAGTTTTGAAATTGAACTATATATCATTTAGTGTTTTAAAAATTATTGTTACATATATAATTATAGATGTATAATATTAACCATATTAAGGCTAGTATTCTTTATTGCCCTTCTACTTCCAATAATCACATTCATTTTAATAAATGGTATTCTTTATAGTTCGGTTTTTCCAGTTGTTTTGCAAGTCATTGGGCTCAATTAGATTTACTCATTATTTTGTTTTAATTAGCATACCAAGTAAGAGTCTTCATTATGACATCCTCATACAGCTCCTTTTGTTCATTTTCCTCCCTCTTCCCTTTCTTGTACAGCATTGCTGATCTAGTTACTCCCCTCGTTTCCTCCTCCATGTCATATGTCTTTCATTTATTTCCCACCCCTCTCTATTAAACTTTTCTTCTCATGGTCACTTGCTAATTTCATGACCTATAACTTTGTCATCCTATATATGATAAAAATCTAGAATTTAATATCATTCTATTTTTCTTTGTAGGTCTTGAATCTGTTTACACATCTGTGTTAATTAGTCTCTCTTTCAAAGTAGAGAATATTCCATATATATAATATATATTATATATATATATAATATATATTATATATATTTCTCTTGAACAATGGCCATGGTGATCTTCCCTCTATTGTTACTCTTATTGTGTGTACTGCTCAAATGTGATCCGTCATCTACTTCCCAAGCACTTAGTTCAGAATTTGGTTTTTGCTTCTACCTTTATAAGACTTCTACCAAGAGAGCCAGACATATCATGTGTCTGACAAGCTCTGTTTTGGCATATTTAACATCTGCTATAATTTTTCCATCTCTACTTTCAAAGTTTCCATTCAGGCTTCTGTCTTTTTGTAGTTTTTCTCTTAGCACACATTCCATGTTTACTAATTCATAGTCCTTTCTGGGTTTCCATCTGCGTGAAAGCATAAGGATTCATTAATAACAAGTGTTTCATTAAAACACTTCTAGGCCTATGCATGGTTCAAATTGCTATAAGGCATTCCTGATCCAGAATCAAAAGCATTGTTTCCTCCCAAACATGTTGATGAATTAGCATCCTGACTTTACTGCTCTTAGAGCATCCCTTCCATGCTTCTCAATTTGCTCTTGACTTGAGTTCCTATATTATTTTCCAATTGCTAACATAACAAAAACCAATTATGTCTCAGGTCAGCCCAAAGATCTGTCTGGCTCTCTCGACAGAGTTCTTATTGAGGTAGAAGTCAAATTTTTCTGAATGTTGGTAGAAAGACTTCATTCTCTCTGGTTCATATTCTCCTCACCCAATTGACACATTCTGTGTATCTCTACTTATGACTCCTTTGCACCTTCCTGTATCTATGCTTTATGTTATAACCAAGGGTCTGCTCTTATATATTACTTTTCATTGTCTATATCAGTAAAATACTCAACAAAGTTGCCTTTATGTAAATTTTCTACACTCATTTTCTTGTGGCCTTCCACAGCTTTTAGTGTAGAGAATATTTTTCTGTATCACAAAGAGAATGAAAAGTGTGTATGCACCCTCTTACCTGTGATCTTTATATCAATGGGGTCACTAGAGTCTGACCACTCATATGGTGAGTGATTGTAAGAACCATAGCATTTGTAAGTTCCAGCATGGTCAGGTGTCACAGGACCTATTGAGAAGTTGGCCTGGGAACCCCCAAGATGATATTCTGCAGAAAGCTTGAAAGAGTCCTTGATTGTTCCATTTTTGTGTGAAGTCAAAACGAAGGTGTCAAACATAATCTCTGATCGACACTCCAGTGTCACCTTCTGTCCTAAATCCACCAGGGGAGGTTGTAAGGCCAAGAGGAAAGGCTTCTTGTGGATTCCTAAAAATAAAGAAATTGTATGAACCAGATCAAAATCTCTGTGTCCTTGAAGACCTATGGTTCTCCCTCAATTGGTCTGTACTCCCTGTTAGTGCTCCAGGGCACTTGTTCTTGTCTGTTTCAACTCTAGACACAGACTTCTCTATCCGCCTGTGTCCATTTCCTACTTATCCAACTGTAGGATTATCACAATATTTTCCCACTGGCTTGTTGCAAGAATGTGTCTTTTCAACCCTTTTTTCCATAGGCACTATTGTCTTTTTCTAAGACTGGAAAGTGCAGGAAACATGGCAATTTTCACACCAGGCTGTTCTATGTGTCCTTTCTATGCAACTTTGGATAAAGTATAATCCTTGGCAGAATGAAGGAATTAGTATTGAACATGGTTATCAGGGAAACACTTCTAGCTCTATGCATGGTTCAAATTGCTATAAGGCATTCTGATCCAGAATCAAAAGCATTGTTTCCTCCCAAACATGTTGATGAAGTAGCTTCCTGACTTTAGTGCTCTAAGATCATACCTTCCATGCTTCTAAATTTGCTCTTGACTTGAGTTCCTATATTATTTTCCAATTGGTAACATAACAAATTACCACAAATTTCATTGTTAAAATGAATACAAGTCTTGTGGAGATCAGAATTCTGAAAAGTCCAAATGGCACAAATCAGGTTTCTTCAGGGATAGTAACTACTGAAATCACTAGGAAAGTATCCAATTTTTGCCCTCCAACTTCTAGAGCCTCATGCATTCCTTGGCACTTGGACCCTTCCTCCATGTTCAGAGTTTGGGACACAGTGTCCCCCTCATGATGCTTGTTTTTCCCACAAATGGATTTTTCCCTATTTTGTTATATCCACCTTTGTAGTTCTACAGACCTAGAATAATTCAGGATATTCTTGCATCCTGATATCAACTTGCTAAGATCTGAGTTCCATCTTCCAGCCCAACTTTTCCTTAACTTATTTAACACACAGGAAGCCTTAGGGACTAGAAAAATTAATGACCTTGTACGTCTTATAATGACCAGAACATTATATATTTCTCTGTGTTGAATATTCCTTTATAAGTCCAAACCTCTTACTAACACTGTTTCTGAAAATTCCAGGGTTGGGAGATTTGGGGAAATGAAAGGAACTCAAAACATCATTTCTAACCTGAAATTATGATCTCCACAGGGTCACTTATTGCTAAAATTTTAAAAGAGTAATGAGAATCAAAACCATGGCATCTGTATGTCCCTGCATGTGCTGATGTCACAGGATTCAAGGCAAATATCTTCTGGAATGGTCTTCCCTGGATCTGAGGGATAGGATTACCATGTTCTTTGTACAACTTGAATGCGTAATAGTTAATATGAGAGTCACATTGAAGTTCCACACGCTGTCCCAAAGGAACAATATGGCTTGGCCAGGCAGAGAGTGAAGGCTTGTTATGACTCCCTGCAGAGAAATGCACAGAGAAAATATTTAATGATGCTCCTTCATCCCTGAGAGATGAGTCTCCAATTTTCTCTTCTTTGGGGTCCTTTGTATAACACTTTTCTCTGAATTGATAGAGATGTTCAGGAGATCCAGAAAGTAAACAAACTTTTTCTGTCATGGAGAGGTGAAACATTCAAGATTCATCAGTGGCCCTTCCCAGCTCTATAGAAAGAGTAAGACACGGGACCAGCTGAGCTCTGAGTGTTAATGTCTAAGACCTGTTGGGCTGCCCGCAAGTTGTGCACTGAGCGCCAGGGTTTTGGCTTCATGATAATCACTCATATTGGGGTGTGCTTTAAGTAAGGTTTGAGTCACCCTTGCTCTGTGAGTAACCCCTCATCCACACTGCTATCATTAACTTAGTAAACCCATAGATTCATAGAGTTGTGCTTTGGTGCAATTAGTGTTTGCTCTGCTATGATTTCTTTCATGAGTCAGTTTGTATGTGTTGTACACAATAGGGTCATTTTGAAGTGATGAGTGTGAGAGACTGTGGTTTTTAGAATAGTTATGGTCCACATAGACTCATCTGTTTAATTGCATGGCACATAGGGAATATCACTAATAAGAGGTATGGCCTCATTGGAGTAGGTGTGGCCTTGGTGGAGGAAGTATGTCACTGTGGAGGCACGTTTTGTGGACTCTTATGCTCAAGCTATTAACAGTGTGAAACACAGTCTCAGTCAGCTGACAGTGGATCAAAATGAAGAAATCTCTGTTCCTTCTCGAGCATCATCATCCTGACTGCCTACACACTGCTAGGTTTTCTACCATGATTTTAGTGGACTAAAACTCTAACTGTAAGTGTTTCCTTTTATTAGATTTTCCATGGTCATGGTGTCTCTTCACAGAAGTAGAAACCCTAAGACAAAGACTGTACGTGTTATCAAACCTACCATATATATGGTATATCTGTCATGTTAAAATATTCTAACTGAGAATTGTGAGTTTGGTATCATGAAGTAAATTTCATCATGAAAAAATTATAATTTAAGAAGAAATTACACCCAAAATGTAGAAGAAAATGTTAGTGTGATTGAGATGATAGATCACAATTGATGCCACCAAGGGAGCAGAAAATGTCATTTCCTGATTCACCAACTCTAGAAATCTAACAATGTTCACATGAGAATTATATCGTGAATATTCCAAAACTCATGGAAGATGGACAGATAGCTCCCAGGACCACAGAATTGAGAAGATCTAGAACAACGATGAGGAATGAGTCTTTTGAACTACTTTGTCCGTTATGTACTTGTAAAAATTTTCATTCACAGAGTTTATACAGGCTCATTTTTTTCTATACTAAATGTTATAAATTAGAGGCTGATAGATACTTCCTCCATCATTTGGAGACTCCTTATGTGAAATATAGGAAGTCTAGTATAGCTCAGCATCTTGTTTACTTGTATTTAGAATGGATTTGGACTCATAATGGCCAGCCCAAGAATCTTGTTCATTTATCTGTATCCTGAGGAATGAGACAACAGCTACTCTCTGTATTCACGACTATGTAGACTCCAAGGTATACTACCACACAGATCTGGTGGACATCTTGCAACACTGGCCACCCAGCAACCATCATAGACCCTAGCCAGAGACTGTTCCTTATTGAAGAGTGTTTTGAGGCCCCTTAAATCACCAGGGAGTACATCCAGGAACAGCATCTGATCTCAAAATACATGAAGGAACCCAGCCCAAGTATAGAAACTGACACCAAAGTCAGTCAATCCAGGGTTACAACAAGTTTACCTGACTACTATCACCAGTTATACTAAATAGTAAAGGTCTTTTTACCAACACTGAGCTTCTCTACATGGCAGAGGAGTTCATTATTATTAGTGCACTGGAACCCAGGTGTAAGAGCATAAGAATTAAAATCAGAGACATAAAACATTACAGAGAACAATGGCGAGACTCAAGAAGTAAACACAAAAAAGGGAGACCTATAAACCTCATGATGAATAATTCCCAGAGTGTTTTTAATTAATTTACAGAAGTATAAGAAACCACCAACAAAACATGGGCAGGTATCTTCTGCTCATGGACAGGCCAGAACAGTCAGAAGAACAGGTGAAGGCCCCACCAGCATGAAGAGCAGATAGGCTGCACTCCAACACATGTAGCTATCTAACTCAGTAGGTTCAGTTTCCCAGGACTCATTATGCCACCACCGTTCTTGTCCCACCATCCAGAAAAATTTTCAATCACCATATATGGGAAAAGCAACATATTCCAAGATAAAGTCAAATTCAAACAATATCTATCTCAAGATCCAGCCCTACACAAATACTAGAAAGACATCTTCATCCCAATAACTTTAACTTCACCCATGTAAAAACAGGAAATAATAATTTCACACTAGTAAAGTCAAATAATGGAAGAACATGTATGTTAATATACTTGCCAACAACAGCCCCCCCGAGAGAGAGAGAGAGAGAGAGAGAGAGAGAGAGAGAGAGAGAGAGAGAGAGACTACCACTACCACAACCAAAATAACAGGAATTAACAATCATCGGTCATTACTATTTTTGGTATCAATGGACATAATTCTTCAATAAAGAGATCCAGACTATGAAAATGTTGTGAAAACAGGACCCAACCTTCTGTTGCATACAAGAAACACGACTAATATCAAAAGTAAACATCATCTCAATATCTCAGAATAAAGCACTGGTCAAAGAAATTTTAAGCAAAGTGATATAAGAAGCAGGTTGTGTTAGCCATTCTGATATCTAACAAAACAGACTTCTGTAGTGATTTGAAAGGCAATGGCCTGAAAGGGAGTGGGACAATAGGAGGAGTGGCCTTGTTGGGGTTGCTGTGGCCTTATTGGAAGAAACTAAACAGAGAAATACTGGAGCTAACAGACATGATGTCCCAAATGAACATAATAGTTATCTACATCACATATGACCCAAATGCTAAAACATATACCTTCTTCTCAGCAAATCATGATTTTTTTTTTCAAAAATTGACCACATACTCTTTTCACAGAACAAGTTTCTACAGATACAAGAAAATTGAAATAACCCCTGTATTATATCAGACCACTACAGATTGAAGCAGGGATTCTGGGAAACAGAAACAAAAATAAGCCTACAAACTCATAGAAAGTTAAGAACCCTATACTGAATGAAAACTGTGTCAAGATCAAGGTAAGAAAGAAATAAAAAACATTACACAGTTCAATGAAAATGAATGCACAATGTACCCAAACCAATGGGACCCAATGAGAACAATACTAGGAGAAAAGTTCATAACTTTAAGTACCTACATATATAAATTAAAGTAATCTCATATTAGCAACTTAACCACACACCTGAAAGTTCTAGAACAAAAAATAGCAAACACATCCAAGACAGCAGGAAATAATCTAACTGAGGGCTGAAATCAACAAAAGAGAAACAGAGACAATCATATAAAGAATCAGTAAAACGAACAGTTTGTTCTTGAGAATATCAACAGAATGGACACCACCTTGCTGTGGGATGTCCTGTATGCTGTGAATGTGTGTTGCTCCGATTGGTTGATAAATAAAATGCTGATTGGCCAGTAGCCAGGTGGAAGTATAGGTGGAATAAGCAGGGCGGGAATATCCTGAGAAGAGGCAGGCTGAGTCAGGAGAAGACAGCCTGCAGTCCGGCAAGCAGCATGTAATGGCACACATGTAAAGTCACAGAGCACATGGTGACAAAAAGATTACAGAAATGGGCTGAGTTTAAGTGATTATTTTATTAGTGGCTGTGGGGTCTCTGAGGCTGGGCTGGGGAAACCTTTCAGCTATACCACCTAATCCAAACTAACTAAAAGGCAGGCAGAGAATATACAAATTAACAAAATCAGAAATGAAATGTGGGACATAACAACAGACATCTAAGATAACAAAGGCATCATTAGGACACACCTTAGGAACATATAATCTACAAAATTGAAAAATCTAAAAGAAATAAATAATTCTCTCATTGTTTACCACTTTCCAAAGTAAAATCAAGGACAGTTAAACAATATACATAGCCCTATAACCCCTAAGAAAACAGAAGTTCTCCATAAAAGCTTCCCCCAAAAAAGTATAGAGTCAGTAGATTCTAGTGAAGAATTCTTCAAGACTTAAGAAGAGCTAATGCCAATATTCCTTAAATTAATCTTAGAAACAAAAGTAACACTGCTTCATTGTATGAAAGCACCATCATTCTGATACCCAAACCATACCAAGATTCAATAAAAATATAATTACAGGCCAATCTCCCTCATGACCATTGATGCAAAAATATTCCATTAAATACTAGCAAAATGCATCCAAGAACATATCAAAAAGATCATCCTCAGTGATCAAGTAGGCTCCATCACAGAGATGTATGGGTGTTTCAATATATGAAAATCTGTCAATGTAATCCACCATATAATTCTGCAAAAAAATCCACATAATTTTCTTATTAGATGTTAAAAAAGACTTTGAAATTAATCTAACATAACTACATGCTAAAGGGATATCAGGGATACAAGGAATATACTTAAATATAACAAAAGCAATATCAAGAAGGCCTTTAGTCAACATCAAATTAAAAGGAAGGAAATTAAAAGCAATTCCATTAAAATCAGGAAAAACACAAGGCTACCCACTTTCTCTATATGTATGCAATTTGTCACCAAAACTACACAGATAAAAACTGACTTAATAAACAAAAAAAAAAAACAAGAAAAGAAATAGAGGTTGATCAATTGAAGACCCAAAATGTCAATCTGCAAAGCTATGAACACCTGTTTTTTGATAAAGAAGACAGAAATATACAATGGAAAAAAGAAAGCATCTTCAACAAATGGTCTAACTGATGCCTACATGCAGAAGAATGCAAATGGATGGATATCTATTACCCTTCAAAACTAAAGTCTAAGTGGATCAACATCAAACCAGAGATATCAACAGATGGGAGCAGATGCAGAGACCCACAGCCAAACATTAGGCAGCGCTCCAGGAAGCTCAAATAAGAGGGGGAAGGAAGAATTGTAGGAGCCAAAGAGGTCAAAGGCATCACCAGAACATGACCCAAGGATTCAAGTAGAATGGCTCATTACCTTCAGTTACAGAGACTGAAGAGTTCATCAGGGAACCTGTATGGGTCTACGATAGTTACTCTGTATAAGTGTTATGGATGTATAGCTTGGTGTTCTTCTTAGACTCCTGGAATTGGGAGTTGGTCCTGTCTCTGAATCTTATACCTACACTTGGAACCCTGTTCCTCTTATACGGTTTCCTTGTCCAATGTTGATTTAAGCTTATG